CATATTTGATTATTGACAATTTATTATATTATAATTACTATTTATTAATGACTTTGAGATCAAGTCTACAAATAAGCAATTTGAAATTTACTATTGTTGGCTAATGATGTGACTGTTGATTTTAATAATTATTAATTTTATAGTAATTGGTAGGTACTTGTGTCGAATCCAAATATGAAATTTTATTTTTAAATAGTTTCGAATTTATCAACATACGTTATCAGCAGTTCAGTTTGTAAAGATAAGAGATAATATTGATAAGAGCATACAGCCGCCATCTTGCAGCCATTCGGCGTTTTCTGTCTCTAGACGCTTGTGTTGTATAACTATTAACTATTAACTGCCATTTTTTCCGCGTGATCGTGATTCCTATTGCCTTTTTTATATTCACTATTTAGTATTTATTTTGGTTTTTGGCTTTTTGCGTCTGGCACTCTCGTAGTCTCGTTTTATTTAATATGGTATATTGGTACCATTATTAAACGTTATTTAATATTATAATATTGTTTTAGTTTTTGTGTGCAAATGTCGTTATGTGTGCTAGTCGTCTGCAGTAGTTAAAAACGCAATTACGCAACCGGCGTCGTCGTTTCGTTTTCGTCATGTGCGTCATATCCATGCTTGTGTCGACACCATTGTTTTATTCACTGTCACCGTTTTTGACTTAATATAACCCAAAATAAAATGTAAGAACATATTCATGCTACCATAAATGCAATGTTGTCTGTATATTCATTGTATCTTCGTGTGAATCTGTATTTTTGATATATCTGTGGCTGTTTTTGAGGTTAGTCCTAATAATAGTCGTGTATCACTGTTCAATTCACCATAATATTACTGCATTAAAATTAAGATACCTACCTATATACCTACTTTTGTTTGTTTTGTTACAAGTTAACAACTACCTACACAGCTGCATTGAGTMATTTTTACAACTATATAATATAATAACAAGGCAACTATTCATTTTTAATATTTAGGTATTATAGTTATCTAGGTATACCTAATATTATTGGTGAAAGGTTAACATATTTTTAATTATTAAAAATGATTCAAAGTARTTCACGTACAAAACGTCGAAAAATTAAGAACGAGCTTGAAATTATAAATAGTTTATATGAAACTAATAATTGTGTAGTTCAAAATGCTGAAACTGAAATTCATAATGATAATGAAATAAAATCTAATGTAAAATCTCAACAATTAATTAATGACAATGCGTCTTCAACTTACTCCGGTTCACCATCAACGGTTAATTTTAATTTGGCCAATATAATATTATCACAAGATACTACTTTAAGTAAGATTCCAACATCAAATGAAATATTTTCAGAACAAGTTCAAAATAGTATTCATAATAATTCTCCAAATAATTTTACTTCTGATCTTACCTTAGACTTTTTGTCTAACTGGGC